TTCAAGACAATCAAATAGTTTTTGAACCACACCTAACAAAAGGTGAAGCTCAAGAGGGGGAATATACTTTAAGACAGGTGTTTCTTCGTCGCCAATGATGAAAGGTAAGTTTATACAGTTTTCTAAAAAATAATTGCCCCTTTTTATATGGTTCATTGAACAACAGTTTAAAAAATACAAAAATAAATATTTCAAATAAAAACGCTTAATAAAATCTTTGGCTTTTGTTATATTTCCTCCAGATTGTTGCCATAAATTTGTATTTTCTGTAATACTTTTTATAGTTCTGAATGATCCTTTAATTTCCATTTCCTTTACATTTACATCACACCATGGGCAAGTGTGAATGGATGAATTTGACTGAAGACCAAGGAGAATCATAATAAGCTTAAAGTCAGCGGCAAAAGTATAGGAACACATTCCACATATGAACTGCAGATCTAACGTCTCAAAGAGGATTTTAATGTTAGCATAAGATTCAGACAACTTTGGTCCTAAGCCAATTATGAATAGTTATTAATTCCAGCACTTTTATATTTCTTGAAATATTCGGGATCATTTTCAGGGAGCACATTCAGACAAACTTTAAGTGATCCACCACCACTATCAATGCCAATTTTTAGATGAAAATCTTCAGGTAATTCTCTAATTTCCAAAATATATGATAGCAGACCAGATAAATCTGAGCAGTATACAAAAATTAATATTAATTGAATTAACATTTTTCCTTTAAATTATTTTCTAAAATGTTTAACTTGAATTCTAGTTCAGAATGCTACCAAAATAGTCTTTTACGATGTATTTGTTGTTATAACAGTCCACGTATTTAAGATTTGTGTTGTACTTAGCTTTAGTTAAATTTAGCGATAAAACCACTTAGTTAGGGAAGAATTATAATTATTCTAACTTATTAGTTAAGCGACAGAGCCAGATATTTTTCAACCGATCGCATACTTATATTCAGACTAAACGTATTGTCACCAGAAATTCTTAATACTCAAAACAATTGGCAGTAGAATGTGCGGCAAATAGTTTTGCTTAAATGTCTGGCATATTTTTGTTTCAATTAAATTTGGTTATATTTGAAGCAGTTTAAAAATAAATTTATTTCGTTTCATTACATCATCACTCAATATACAGGGTGAGTTTTAAATAAATCCAAATATTTTTAAGGGTGGATTGTTTGGACCTCGGCAAATTTTTGGTGATAAATAAATGTTGAAAATGGCAACGCAATTTTTTTATTTTATCGAAACCTTCAAAATATTTGCACTTATTTAGGACCTACCCTGTATAAAATTTCATACTTTAAAAATTTATCATACATAGAAATAATAATACACTAAGATGCAAAAAACGCAACAGAGAATTTTTTTGTCAAATTTAAAGTGTTATATTTTTTTTATTTTTAGTCCTATTTGTATGCATTTTCTAACAAACTGTATATAATTATATCAACTTTAATTTGTAAACTCAGTTTTTTGTAAACTTTAGTAATTGGCATATTATACAGGGTTAACGAGGACTTGTTTTTTTATCCTAACTTTAAAACACCCTGTGCAATAATTTCGTATGTAAATTTTCCTAAAATATAATTTTACGGTAAGAACCATGTCTCCTGAGCATTTTGATTTTTGGATGACGTCAATGCATGTTTTGGTTAATTTTTAAGAGCGAAATGAACTGATCATGATCAATTTGCAATTTTTTCAGTTATCATTACTTTTGATGTAATTTTTTAAAAAGATGAGGTGGTTTTGGTGACTATTATCGTAACGTCATATTACGCTGCATCGGATACACTACACTAAATTTAAAAAAAGACGTTAAAGACTAACGATACAGTCCTGGTTTTAATAAACATTAATAACGATAACAGAACTAGCTAACGATACTAAGGAAAACGATAGACTAACGATACTAAGGAAAACGATAGACTAACGATACTAAGGAAAACATCTGTAATACTGAAGCATACAAACAGAAAAAAAAATTGTAAAAAATACCCTAATACTTTGTATTGCCTCCCCTGGCTGCTATAACTGCCTGTATAAGTTTGTTCATATTGTCACTGAGGCTGCATATATCATATTGCGTTATGTTTTTCCGTTCTTCTTTAAGGACCAAGCGAAGTTCATTTAATGAAGCTGGTAACGCTTCGCGACCCCTAACCGTCCTGCCAGGCATTTCCCAAACGTCGAACATGATGGGCAGTTCATAGTAGTATATAGTTCCCAATAATCACCAAAGCTGCCTTGTCATATTGAAAAAAAAAACTTCAAAAATAAATTATACCCAATTGAGAAAATTATATTTCAGGAAAATTTACACACGAAATTATTGCACAGGGTGTGTCAAAGTTAGGGTAAAAAAGCAACCCCTCGATTAACCCTGTATGATATGCCAAATACTAAAGTTTATAAAAACTCAGATTACAAATTAAAGTTGATATAATTATATACAGCTTGCTAAAAAATTCATGAAAATAGGGCTAAAATTAAAAAAAATATAACAGTTTAAAAATTTTTCTCCGTTGTGTTCTTTTTGCATCTGAGTGTATTTATTATACAGGGTGTCCCAGAAATATGTGCAACTATTTTAACCGGTAGTATAGTTCAACCCCAGAAAAACGCCTATGAGTTGTCTTTCACGAAAAAAGAATTTTGAAAATTTGAAATTTTTTGAAAAATTTCTTGGAATTGTTTTTAGTTTTTAGTTAAAAAAATATAATTTCTTGGTAATGTGGCAACATAGATATTAGATTAAATTTACAAGAAAGAAAATTCGGAAAAGATCCAGTTAAGTTTGTTTTTTGAAAAAATTTTGAGAGCCACAGGATTTTTTCTGTATTTGCATCCCTTTTAGTGCCGTAACCATGCATGGAGTTAAGCCATTTTTAGAATTTAGAATTTAGAATGAGTGGGAGGGGGGTTAATCACTTCGACCTTACAGATCCATTGTGTCCCCCTTTCTTGAATCATAACTCATCATACAGTCCCAGGGCTTTGACAAAAGCCAGTATCTGGGACGGTTTTATAGAGTCCATCTCCAATATCAGTCGTACCAAAATTCATGGCACGAATGGTTGTCGTCTCGGCGCACTCAGTGATGAGGTGTACTGGTGTTTCCCCATCTTCCCCTCAGAATCTGCATTCGCCGTTTCTTCTTAGTTTCAATCTACTGAGGTGTTCATTGAGTGTCCTGTTAAAAACCCCGTGACAATCCGAAGATTGTTCTTACTCAGACCCAGGAAGATCTGTGATTTTTCTTGATCATAAGCCCTCAGAAACTTCTTCGAGTGTCTTAGACCATTGCAAGATTTCCATTCCAGGTTGCGGATGGAATCTTCCAAGTTCTTGAGTTCCGCCTTGAGTTGGTTACCACTTGGAAAGCAGAACGGTTCTGGTCCAGTTAGTGGAGTGTTCGCTCCTTTCCTAGCTAGATTATTTGCTTTTTCATTGCCTTCTATCCCTTGGTGAGCAGGCACCCAGTGTAGGAGGACTTTGTTTTCTTTGCCTAATTTATTCAGCTTCTCTATGCATTCTTTGACCAATTTCGAATTGATTGATACTGAGTTGATCGCCTTTAACGCTGCTTGACTATCAGACAAGATGGCTATTTCTTGTTTCCGATAGTTCCTATCTAAGATAAGTTGTACGCATCTCTCGATAGCGTAGATTTCTGCCTGTAGGATACTAGGGTAAGTGCCCATTGGTTCGGAGTAATTAGCTCTCGGCCCAAACACTCCGATCCCTGTTCCCGTATTGGTTTTGGAAGTATGAATATACCAAGTTATGGTATGGTCTTTTAACTGCTGGGCAAGCGTTTCGCTCTTCCAACCCTTCTTATTGCTCAATACTACATTGACATGTTTGTCAAAGTTGTACGTTCTTGGCATATCGTCCAATGGGAGTTGCAGGAGTGGTATTTCCTTTTTGAGGGTGTTCCAAGCCCCTGATCTGACAATTCTCCCAGTACTAATTCCGTTAGTGACCATTCTAATCATTGTCGCATTGGCATATCTACCAATGACAATGTGCAGTGGTGTTAGATCTAGAATGACCTCCATTGCTGCTGTTGGACAGGTTCTCATGGCTCCTGTGATGCAAACACATGCTAGTCTCTGGACTTTGCATAGGTTTAGCCTTGCCGTCCGTTGCTCTAGTTTTGTGTACCAGTCAACTGCTCCATAAGTAATCATGGGTCTTACTATCATGGTATACATCCAGCGCAAAATGTTAGGGGAGCAGCCCCATCTATTTCCGGCCAGTCTTCTGCATATCATGAGAGCCTTTATGGCTTTCCTGGTAGTGTTCTTAATATGCCTGTTCCACAGGAGTTTACTGTCCAGGGTTATTTCCAGGTATTTAACTTCCTGTGTTGGCAGTATTTCCTTTCCATCTAGTTGGATTCTTTTCAAATTTTTCAGACTTCGCCTTCTGGTGAATGGCACTATCGCGGTTTTGTCTGAGTTGATACTCAGCCCGACAGTCCTACACCATCTCTCAGTGATACGGAGTCCTCTTTGGATAATATCACACAAGGTGCCTTCATGTTTCCCCCGAGCGATCATGACTATGTCATCTGCATACCCAATGCAGTGTATTCCCGCTAGAGTTGATTCATCTAGTAGTTCATCCACCACCAAGCTCCACAGCAAAGGGGAGGTTACTCCACCTTGTGGAGTTCCTTGCGTTGTTTTAACAGCTACAGTTTTGGTGCCCATCTAAGCCTCTGCTGTTAGAGAGTTAAGCCATAACTATGGTAATATCAGAGATTAAGAAATTATACCGTGGGAAAATTTGCGGTAAACAGGCAGTTCTAAAAAGTTTTCGAAAAATATACAGCGAAATTTAACAGAAAATGCACGATTTTCGAACATCTTTTTTTGCGCAAAAAAATCTCATAGACGTGTTTCTGGGGTCGAAATATACCACCCATAAAAATATTTGCACTTTAAGACTCACCCTGTATATATACTTCTAAAACTTAAATCTTACCCGTGGAGTCCAACTACACGGCGTTTGCGATGGCCTGGTCTGACTTTTCGATCTCGACCTGAAGATTTTCTTGGCCACCAAACGACTTCCCTGTTGCATCACGCTAGAAGAAGATTTGCTCTTCTGCATAGCGGTGGCTGTAACAGCTGAAACAAACAGAATAAGTATTAACTAAACAATAATTATTTTAAATCATGATAACTGAATAAATAATTAAAGTAAAGTAAAGATTTCAGTTAACGTCTTCTTTTTTACTTTGTTTACGCGGAATCCGAACCGCGGTCCTCGGCCATATCATTGTTAATGGCCTACCGACTTGGCAAGCGTCTAAATCGACTCTTACTCATGAGATTAGTAGTGGGAACTATCGAATGAATACTATCGAAATATTCGATACGTAGGTTTCTTTCCGAGAAGCCCGACAGCGGTCGGTGGCAATGCTATGAAAGAAGGCGGCATCTTTGATTTTTTGCGGAGTCAGATATAGATAAGGACACATTATTTTTTTTATTGAGGTGCTAGTATTTACACAGAAAATACATTATGAAGGGCGCTGTTGCCATATTTTGGTATTAGTTGATATTAGCAAAGAATATTATTGTTTGGCTTTAGTTAGTTAGGGTTAGTATGTCTATATATTCTGCATTTTTTTAATTAATATTCTGTTGTTACACTGCAATAATACTTGTTATTTTGGATGTAGGAAAAGTTAGTAATGTTTTTAAGCAAGGACTGGTTTAATAAATAATAATAACAGTAATAATTTGTTATACCTATTAACAACAAAATTTAAAATGATTTAATATAAATATTTTTTTTAAGTAGTAGCAAAATATAAACAACAAATTAGATGTCAGAATTATTTATATTAGATCCTATTTAAAAAAAATATAGTCTCTAAATTTTTTGTGTGTGGCAACGTTGGTTTATTAAATAATAATAATTACAGAACTAATTTGTTATATTAACAACAAATTTTAAAATCATGAAATATAAACATTTATTAATTTTCTAAGCATGCAGTGTAATGGAAGGAAAATAGAAATAAAAAATTAGAAATCAAAATTATTTATATTAGGTGCTTTATATTACTATTTAAAAATTATATTTACTTTTACTGGCATTTACTTTAAAAAATAAATGAAATATTTCTTCGCAAAAAACTACATGTAAGAGAATTAGCATAAACAAAATACAAACATCGTTAACTTTTTTTTTAAATTGGCACGTGTAAAACTTTCATTTTAATTTTCTCACCCCATAGTTTGAGTTCGATAACCATTTACTTAACCACATTACTTTAATATGATTATTAAGTTCAACTAATTCATATTATTAAAACATCTAAAATACAAATATGTACTTTTAAAATTAATTTAAGTTCATCTCATCTCTCTTAAAAATTGCTACTTCTCAAAATTTCCCATTAAAAAATAGACCATATACCATATAAAATTAAATAATTGAAAGATCGGACTACGGAAAACCACACAACTTTTCGGAAAAATTTTGACCACCTGCACATGCACACAATCGTCAATAAATAAAATTAAAAAATAACTACTATTTTAGTATTTTAACTATTTTAGTAAACGCAAAAATAGCACAGTATTTATACGGTGAAGTTATAAAAATTTGGAAGAACTAATAATGCACTGACGCATACAAAAATCAAACGAATACTAAATTTCATTTATCAAAAGCATTCGATAGTCGTGGCTCAACGATAACCATTTAGTCGCACGGCGAGGTTGTCACATATGCTTTAGTATACAAATGAATGAATGATTTTATTCGAATAAAACCATTCGATAGTTGAAATCATTCATTCATTAACCATTCGATAGTCTAATTCATTCGATAGTTCCCATCGCTACATGAGATATCCGATCTCATCCGGCCTCGAACCAGCGTGAATGAGCGGAGTGTGTCAATAGATTTTACACTTTTGCCTTTTTTTGGACAACAGCACATACAGAGTGGACAACAGGACAACAGAGATACAGAGTTTCGAACCGGTCACCCGTCCATACACTACTATCGCCTTAAGTCGCTTAACTTCGATGTTCTAATGGGATAATGTTCTAACCGGTGTTTCGACGTAGCTGGACCATCGCCCTAAATAAATAATTAAATCAAGTTAATAACAATTTTTGGAAGGGCATGTCAAAAATCCCCAGTATAATATTTCTTATAGAAATGTCAAATCAATAGTTTTAAGTATGAGACTTAAGGCTATTCTATTCTAACTTCCATTGGCATGTCAAGATGGTGTATTCGTTCCGGTTTTTGGATACAAAGAGCATTCCTGAATGACAATTGCACCGATAGTCAGTAGATTATAGGTTTTGAATTTCCCTCTACAAGAATCCTGAAATTCCATGTTAAGCATCGTACGTAAAGCTCTCTTTTGGACTATAAACAGTCTCTCAATGTCATTGCTGTAATATATTTGAATATTACTTATTGTAGAATAAATGATGAAATCAAATTGTTAGTTTCTAAGTGTAAAATACTAGTAGTGGGAACTATCGAATGAATACTATCGAAACATTCGATAGTTGCAATTCATTCGAATAATTCGATAGCTAGTAAGAAAACATTCGTCGAAAACTATTCGAATAAAAATTATCGAATAGATGCGTCATCTGCCTTGAAATATCCTATTCTAGTAATTCGGCAGCAAAAACCATTCATTTATAAAATTCATTCATTTATAAAATTCATTCATTTATCAAATTCATTTATTCGTCAGGATCGATTTTAATAAAATATAAACTGGATTTTAGTTGTCGTCCGGCGACGTAGGTTTCTTTCCTAGAAACCCGACAGCGGTCGGTGGCAATGCTATGAAAGAAGCCGGCATCTTTGATTTTTTGCGGAGTCAAATAAAGATAAGGACACATTATTTTTTTATTGAGGTGCTAGTATTTACACAGAAAATATATTATGAAGGGCGCTGTTGCCATATATTCGTATTAGTTGGTATTAGCAAAGAATATTATTCTTTAGCATTAGTTAGTTAGGGATAGTAGGTCTATATGTTTTGCATTTTTTTATTAATATTCTGTTGTTACACTGCAATAATACTTTCTATTTTTGATGTAGGAAAATTATTTTTAATGTTTTTAAGCAAAGACTGGTTAATAAATAATAATAACAGTAATAATTTGTTATACCTATTAACAACAAAATTTACAATCATTTAATAATATAAACATTTGTTTTAAGTAGTAGCAATATATAAACAACAAATAGGAAGTCAAAAGTATTTATATTAGATCCTATTTAAAAATAATATAGTCTCTAAATGGCAACGTTGGTTTAATAAATAATAATAATTACAGAACTAATTTGTTATATTAACAACAAATTTTAAAATCATGAAATATAAACATTTATTAATTTTCTAAGCATGCAGTGTAATGGAAGGAAAATATAATAAAAAATTAGAAATCAAAATTATTTATATTACTTTTTATTACTTTATATTATTATTTAAAAATAATATTTACTTTTGCTGGCATTTACTTTAAAACATAAATGAAATATTTCTTCGCAAAAAACTACATGTAAGAGAATTAGCATAAACAAAATACAAACATTGTTAACTTTTTTTCTTAAATTGGCACGTGTAAAACTTTCAATTTAATTTTCTCACCCCAAAATTTGAGTTCGATAACAATTTACTTAACCACATTACTTAAATATGATTATTAAGTCAACTAATTCATATTATTAAAACATCTAAAATACAAATATGTATTTTTAAAATTAATTGTAAGTTCATCTCATCTCTGTTAAAAATTGCTACTTCTCAAAATTTCCCTTTAAAAAAGTGCAATCTAACCTAACCATAATATACCATATAAAATTAAATAATTGAAAGATCGGGCTACGGAAAATCACACAAATTTTTGGAAAAATTTTGACCACTTCGCACACAAACGTCAATTAAAAAAAACTACTATTTTAGTACTTTAAATATTTTAATAAACGTAAAAATAGGATAGTATTTACAAGGCGAAGTTATAAAAATTTGGAAGAACTAATAATGCCACTGACGCACACAAAAATCAAACGAATACTAAATTTCATTTATCAAAAGCATTCGATAGTCGTGGCGCAACGATAACCATTTAGTCGCACGGCGAGGTTGTCACATATGCTTTAGTATACAAATGAATGAATGATTTTATTCGAATAAAACCATTCGATAGTTGAAATCATTCATTCAGTAACCATTCGATAGTCTAATTCATTCGATAGTTCCCATCGCTATAAAATACCTTATTTATATATTAAGGAATGTGGTTTGATAGTTTATAAATATATGTAAAATAGAGAATAAAAACTTCACTTCGCAGTTGGCTTTCGTTATATTATTAAATATATCTAAATTAATAAATATATAAATTATAAAACCTAAGTACTTTACACTGGCGCAGTCGGTAAACGAAACCAATAAATAAATTATTAAGTGAAATTAAGTTTGAAGAAAATGTCAATTGGAAAATTAGAAGCATTCAGAGTGGGTGAAAGTAATTGGAGTTCTTATGTGACCAGAATCTGCCAATATTTTAAAGTAAATAAAGTGGAAGAAAATCTAAAAACTGCAATTTTAATAACTGTAGTGGGTGATGAAGCGTTTGAGTTGATGGTTGACTTGTGTAGTCCGGTATTACCAGAAGAGATGGCTTTCGGTGATTTAATTAAATTAATGGAAAATCGTCAGAACCCAGACCATCTGAAATAGCAGAAAGGTATAAATTCAGATAGAGAAAACAAGAAAGTGGTGAGACAATTGCTACATACATTGCGGAATTGAAGAGATTATCCAAGTATTGCAATTTTGAATCAAATCTGGAAACTCAGCTACGGGATCAGTTAGTTTTCGGCTTGCAAAACGATGTTATAAGACAACAACTTTTTCAACAGAAGAATCTGACATATAAAAAGGCACGCGACATAGCTTTCAATTTAGAAGCAGCGGCAAGAAATTCCGATTTAATTGCACCTGGAAATGTTCTGAAAATATCACACAGAGGAAAATCCACGACTAAATTCCACAAAAATAGGCGCGAAGAATCTCAAGATAACGTTTGTTCCAAGGCAATTTTGCAATTAGAAAATTTGTTTAAAGTTT